TTCATATCCATTCGTCAATCCGCCAATCCGCCGGATTGACGAACGGATGCAGATTAATTTTTTCCAATTCACTAATCTGGCGGACAAATGACGTAATAGAGGTTCTATGGCCGCAACCAACCCGCACCCACCCCTAGTCACATTATATATAAAAATGCATATTAGTCATTTAACACACATCTTAATTACGTCATTGGATCACTTACTTACTTTTCAAACTAACAAATGCTTTGGGAAGTGAGTTGACTTTTTGGCTTTTTAATTTTTTGACTATTTTAATCTGGAGTTAAAAAATCTCATTTGAAAAGGGTTTTTTGACTTTTTGTGAGAGAAAGAATGTAATGACTATGGATTTGATGTGATATTTTATCTTTTTGAGCTAAAAAACTTATTTTGTCTTTTTATAACTAAAATAGCTCTAAATCCAGCCAACCCAACCCTTCTTTCCAAACAGAGACTTAATAAATAAATAAATTTCACTTTTCATAATTTTTTTCATATAATACAATTTAACTTCACCATTATAGATGTTTTAAGAGTCCCACTCAGCCCAACTTAAAAATGAAGCACATCAAGCCATTTTTAACAAAGCCAACATATACCATACCAACAAGAAAAGGGTGCCTTCAAATACTTCTCAATTTTTTTTTTGGACGTCTCAATTTTTTTAGAGATTTCACTCTCAAATTTAAAATTTTCTCATTTGGATAAATTATACAAATAGTCCTTATTTTTTTAATTTGTTTGATTTTGCCTATTAATTTAACAGATTATGTCATTTTAGTCTAATAAATAACAGTTGTTAAGTTTGGTAGAATTTTTGTTTTCAAAAATAGATATAGATGTAACAATATAGAGGCATATAATCTCTACTACTGCTCTGTTCATGGTTTTGGTGGTTTGAATTATTTTTATATTTTAAGAACCATATATTGTAATATTTTTTGTGGACGAGACATGCAGTGATTATAATATTTTTTTAAGTCATTGACTATAATACTCTTTTTTTTTTTTTAGGAAGTGCACATGTTATGTTGAAAATTTATAAAATTTTAAACCGCTAAACCGATTTATATCCATTTGTCAATTCGTCAATTCGCCAATCCGCCGGATTGACGAACGGATGCAGATTGATTTTTTTCAATTCACCAATCTGGCGGACAAATGACGCAATAGAGATTTTGTGGCCGCAACCAACCTGCACCCACCCCTAGTCACATTATATATAAAAATGCATATTAGTCATTTAACACACATCTTAATTACATCATTGGATAACTTACTTACTTTTCAAATTAACAAATGCTTTGGGAAGTGAGTTGACTTTTTGGCTTTTTAATTTTTTGACTATTTTAATCTGGAGTTAAAAAATCTCATTTGAAAAGGGTTTTTTGACTTTTTGTGAGAGAAAGAATGTAATGACTATAGATTGGATGTGATATTTTATCTTTTTGAGCTAAAAAACTTACTTTGTCTATTTATAACTAAAATAGCTCTAAACCCAACCAACCCAACCCTTCTTTCCAAACAAAGGCTAATAAATAAATAAATTTCACTTTTCATAATTTTTTTCATATTATACAATTTAACTTCACCATTAGAGATGTTTTAAGAGTCCCACTCAGCCCAACTTAAAAATGAAGCACATCAAGCCATTTTTAACAAAGCCAACATATACCATACCAACAAGAAAAGGGTGCCTTCAAATACTTCTCAAATTTTTTTTGGACGTCTCAATTTTTTTAGAGATTTCACTCGCAAATTTAAAATTTTCTCATTTGGATAAATTATGCAAATAGTCCTTATTTTTTTAATTTGTTTGATTTTGCCTATTAATTTAACAGATTATGTCATTTTAGACTAATAAATAACAGTTGTTAAGTTTGGTAGATGGAAAGTTTATACAATGTGTCAATTTGGTCACTGCTGTTTACACAATGTGTCAATTTGATCCTTATTGTTTTAATTTGCTCGATTTTGGCAGGAACCAAATTGATACATTGTGTAAACTATAGACACCAAATTGACACATATTTTGACTTTCCGTCCACCAAATTTAACAACCATTATTTATTGGACTAAAATAACACAATCTATTAAACAAAGAGGCAAAATCGAACAAATTGAAATAACAAGAACTAAATTGACACATCATGTAAACTACATTGACTATTTGTATAATTTACCCTTCCTTTTTCTTTCAACACTTTAATTAATCCTAACTCTACCCCCACCCAACCCAACCACCTCAGTCGCCGCCACCTCTTCCCCCGTGACACGCCCTAGCACCTCCTTGCTATCCATCGCTCCCTCGTCTACCTCTTTCACCGCCTGCTGCCACAACCCAAACTCTTTCTCACTCTCCACAACTGCCTCATTTTCTTCTTCTTCTCCTCTTTATGAAGCAAGGGTGTCGTGGCAGAAGAGGAAAGAAAAAGGGGGGGAAGGTGGTGACGAAGTTAGGGAGAGGCTGGCTAAAGCTACATAAGCTACAGAGGTTTGGATTTGTTCCTTTTTGAGGTGCATTTGAAGCCTCTCCTACAATAATCGCTAACCCACAGCAAGAACGTCAACTCTCAAAATTTTCTATTTCAAATCTATCAAAATAAAGAGAAGGATAAGTAGATATTTGATGTAACATTAATATCGCATGGTATTATTACATGTCACAAACTAAAAGAAAACTCCAAATGAGGATAATTGGAAACCACTACTTGGTCAGTTAAATAAGACACCATGCCATTGTTACACAGTTTTACGTTGCTCAGCTTTTATTGAAGATGCACGATGATCAACATCTTTCTCCTCATGTTTTCTTCACCCATGTCTAGAGTCATCAAATGGTCCGCGGGTAAAAAATTCGGTATTATTTAACTTGTCCAACTTGTTCCATGGAATCCGGTTGACTACCTAGCCCATCCTATTCCATAGAAGATCATTTAGAACTTTGCATGAAGGTTTGAAATCCAAACCTACCCATGAACCCGGTCAGTACAAGCCCGCATAAATAATCTGTCCAATCTTTTTTTTTAATATTTTTTAAAAAAAGTAACATTGTTAAATTAAATTTTAATCCATTAAAATCAATACTGTTCCAATTATAAAAATTTTATCCTTGTAAATTGTACTTTAATAATAAAAAAATGCACAAATCACACAATTTGTTAAAATTGAATTTGATAGTGACGTGACCGGTGATATCTTCCAAACTCTCAACTTTTTACATATAACATTATCATAATTTGTCAATTTAGTGAATTTATAAATTGTTTTAATAGTATTAATTAATTTGATCATATTAATTATTAGAAAAGAAAAAATAAATGTGTATAACTTAATAATATAAGTCTAATAAAAAATATATAACCCGATTCAGTTTGATTTTGGCATGTAAGATTTATGTTTATGGGTAAAATGTGATTTTAATTTTTGGGCAAATTACCTGGAAGTCCTATTTGAAAGAGGAGAATTCTATTTAGTCCCACAACCTTTTGGATACTCTCAAAAGTCAAATACGTATTTTTCTTTTTCACTCTTCTCTGTGCATTCGTTCTTCCCTACCTCTTTCTCTTCTTGATTTTTGGCAACCAGCGACCACGCGTTGCTTCTTCTCTCTCTTTTTGATATATAGTTATCGATGACCAGTGACCACCATTGATTGGGGTCCATCGGTAACCACCAACTTCTTTCTTCACCCTCACCGATAAGGAATGAGATGAGTTTCTGGTAAAAAAGATGAGTAGATCTACTCATATTTATATATTAGATTTGAGTAGATCTACATCAGATCTAACTAGATTTAAACCAAAAATAGTTATCGAAGTATAATTTTCTCGCTATATTTGTTTCTCTCATTCGATCTCTCAATTTCTATTTTTTCTTTGCTACACACTTCTATTTTCTTATTTTAATGGAGAAAATTTTTAAATTCTAAGCAGGTTGTTTTTGAGTTTTAGTTACAAGTGGTGAAAATTGTAAAATTTTACAGTTTCAGTTTGTTTGGTGCTGAAACGAATCATGCTTTAAAATTGTAAAAATTTTGTAGTTTCATAACATATTTTCCAGTTTAATTAACAAGGATAAATGCTTAATAGAATCAAAGTTTTAAAACTATAACATTTTTCAATTTCAAAACTTATTTTTCAGTTTGATTAATATTAGAGAATATTTGTTTAAACCCTACAAAAATTGAAAAATAATATATATATTTTTTCCCATTGTTGCTATTTGTTGTTATTATTATTTTTTTAATTTATCAATATTTAACAAATTTTACTATATTTTTTTATTTTAATTTCTCCATTTATTTTTTTTTTCTAACAATATCTTTGATATTCTGGTGAGTCTGACGATATTCTTAACGTCTAGCGAACGTACTGAATATTTCAACAACTTCCAGTAACATTCAAAACATTCCGACAATACTCTGATGATTTCCCAGTGATGTTGAACATTTCGGTAAATCTCTGATGACCATTTGACAAAAGTTCAACGATAGTGAGATATATCAACGCTTTTAAATTTATTAACAAAAAAAAAAAAAATTGATAACAATTAAAAATATATAAGACTAATTAGTACAATTGTTTTGTTTTGAAACTAAATAGATTTTGAATTTTGTATATAGGACTTACTGGTAAGTATGATTTAATTTTTTTAAATAAGTCCGACCTATAATCCAAACAAGCCACCATCTCCTTGACAAGCACATTACCACCCTGCCACCAGCTCTCCTCTCCCTCATTTCTTCTCCATCTAGTTACATAATTGATCTTCCCTCCATCTCCATTAACACTAAACAGAGAGACAGAGAGAGAGGAGGGAGAGCAAGTGACCATGGTTGCTCGCAACAGAAAACTTCTAGAGTTGGATATGTATACATACGTGCTAACATATTGCAGCCGTGCAAAGATTAGCCAATCCAATATATGTATACATATTTTCCTCATGAAAAAAAAGATATATACATAGAGAGAGAGAGAGAGAGAGAGTGAAGAAAAAGCAAAAAAAAACAGCACACATTTTCCCTCATTGCCCTTTTAATCTCTATAGTACAATGAACTGTATCAACATCAGGAACAAAAAAATATGAACAAATAAATAGCCGCATTGTGAGAAAACAACACAAAAATTTATAATCAGACTAGACTACCACACTGGTTTACTGACAATAGACAAATGCGTATCGCTGTAAAGTTAAAACCTGCGGGGGATTGATAATCACAAATAACAAGTCCCCATGCAAAACATGAATTGTAAGTATGAAAAACTGATTAATTACAACAGTAAAAAGGAAGATAAACCCAGTGATGATTGAAAAACCAGTTGGCATAATCTGCTCCCTTAATCAAATGAAGGTGAAATGAATAGGCGACTGCCACCACTGTAACAACATACACACAAGAACCTCTACAATCTACTAGCCTCTCAACTTCTACATGTTTCTACGCCTCGTGCCAACTCCAAACCTGCAAAATGCAAAACGATCATTTTAGAAGCAAGTTGTTGAAGTTCTATATTTTTATGAAAATCAATCTAATAACTGCCATCAATTTCAGTAAAAACACATCACTGGAAAGTTAAATAACCACACTCAAAACAAAAGGGTACTAGATAAAGGCGTCTCAGCCTATCTACCATTGATCAAAACATGACATACCAAAACAAAATTCTTGGAATTGCCTTCCATACATACCGAAAGATAGCAAGAGGATAGATCCATGTCAAGTAATCCCTTGGAGACAGTATCTTACATAAAACGTTACGTAACAATTACAAAACACATTATGTAATCGTTGACACGTCCCAATTCCGATACAACTTGGTTTAGCGGGTAGCATAAAAATCACAGTTGTAACGGGAGTTATAATGTTCCATTATGCTGCTGCTACAGCTGTTATGATATGTCAGCAGTCTGCTTTATAACAGAATGGTTTTCTTCAATATTTTCCTGTTTGTTTCGACCAAAATCGCTCTCCTAAACTCCAAAACAGTCAAAACTCCTTAACTCTACTACTTTCAAGCAAAAACCTACCAGATTTTTGTGTTGGCTTCTTGATCTTCAACACAAGTTTTGACTGTGTAGAACCATTTAAAAAAAAAGAAAATAAAAGAAAAGAAAACAGTACATCCAGTTTAGTACCTATTAGATAAGGGTCTAGGAGGCATAAAGTGGGTACAAAGTTAGCCATTAGCAACACAACATAACACTCTAACAATTAGTTAAGATATAAATAACATAAAGTGGTGCAAGTGTGTAACATAACAATGCTTGATGGATCACATTGAGTACCTTTGTTTATTTTTGAGTTTTAAATACATTGATACATAAAAATCACCAATTACTAAAAAAATGTAAATTTCTTTTGACGATCTAAAAATAATATAAAAATTAATACAAGTATCAATTCCTGTTCGTAAATTAAACAAAATCTGGGAAAAAACATTAAAAATCCCAATATATGTGATTATGAAAAGGTAAAAAAGCATGTGTATTGGTAAGATTTATGGGAGTTGTATGAAGAATAAAGAACTTTGCAAACCTGAGCACCAAAAGGCCAGTGTGTTAGCTTCTATTAAGGAACTGGGTCCCAAAGAAGATAAGAGGGGTTAACAGAAGAGGAGGGGTTGCGAAGGAAAGATACCAAAGGAGAGTTGGGGCATATTGTGAGAACGGAAGAAATCGGCTGGAGACATAAGGCAAGGTATTTGTGGATCAAGGGAAATATTCTTCCATTGCTTAGCAAATGCACGTTGAAGAACAAATCACATAAGGAGGCTTGTTATAAATGGGGAAGACAAGAGACTAGGGGGGTTTGGAGAAATTCTATCAAAACCTGTTGATGCAGAACCAGGAAGAGAATAAAAGAATAGGAATTTGTAGGAGGGTAGAAAAACAAAGAGAAGTAGAAAAAGGGGAACTAATCTCTATCAATATTCAAATCAAGTCTCCCAAATCCATTACCTAAGGCCATATATATAGGGACACCAAATTAAAGGAATAATCAAATAAGGAAACAAAATCATAAGATTAACACAATTCCAAATTAAAACAAAACTCTCATGAAGGAAATTCTAAATTAATTAAAATTCCTAAAGATAATCTCAATCTTCAACTTATACTTCATCCAATTCCTTTTCAATCCCCATCATTTTTGTACAAGGAAAGTGAGGGTAGGAGGCCTAGACTGGACAGATTGAATTTTGATTCTATCTCCAAGAAGGATAGGCGTGGTTTGCAAAGACATTTTTACAGGAGGAAGGTGGTGGTAGCATTGAAGAGCAAGTTATAATGAACTATGGGAATAAGGCTACTAGCACAAATGGTATAATTAAGGTTTTTCTCCAAGAAGGTTCGGATTTTTCGAAGGACATTATGGCTATGGTGTGTCAACTGTCATTTCCATGACCATGGATCACTTGAGAGGAGTTTGAATGCCTCTTTCATTGTCCCTGTTGCCAAAAAAAGGTGGTGCAGTGGAGTTGAAGGGTTTTAGGCCTATTAGCCCCTATCCATTCAAATTGATGGTGAAAGTTCTTGCATTCAGATTGAGGTTGGTGGCGGGGAAGAGGCTCAAAATGCTTTTGTGGAGGCCAAGCAGATCTTGGATGCAGTTTTGGTGGCAAATGAGGTGGTCAACTCTCAAATTAGTTGTGCAGCCCTAGGAGTTATTTGTAAGGTGGACATAGAAAACAAGTATGATCAATTCAACTAATACTTCCTTCCTCGTATACTTGCTCGAGCGGATAGGGTTTGGTGAGAAGTGGAGATGATGGATTAGGTTTTGCATATTTACAGTCCATTTCTCAATTATGATGAATTGTTCTCCATCAAGGTTCTCCCCAAGCTTAAGAGGTCTGAGCCAATGACCCCCTTCGACCTTTCATTTCATCATTGTCATGGAGGCTCTCACTCGATTTATTAACCAGGTAGTTCAGGGAGGTATGCCTTCAAGGTTAGGATGGGTGGAGAGAGGTTGTTTGTGTCCGACTTCTTTGTAGATGACACCATTATTTTTTATAATGCGAAGGAAGAACAACCCAAATAGTTGAGATGCATTTTGATTACCTTTGAGGTTGAAGGTAAATGTGGACAAAAGCGAACAAATTTCATCGGAGAGGTGCAGAACACAGAAAATTTGGCAGCCAATCTAGGGTGTGAAAGTGGCAACTAACCTGTTAGATATTTTGGTCTTCCTCTTGGCTTTTCTTTAAAAGCTACAACAGTTTGGGACAATGTGGTAAAAAGATTTGAGAAGAGGTTGGCAAGGTGGACAAGGTAGTATCTTTAGAAATGGGAAAAATTTACACTCGTTAAGAGTATGCTGCCAAGTTCACGTATATACTTTTTTTTCTCTCTTCACTATTTCTAACTCTATCTTTTCTAGTCTTACCACACATCCACCTTAGCATCCTCATATCAGCAACACTCATCTTATCTATATGTTGTTTCCTAGTTGCCCAACATTCCGGCCCATACAACATCGCTAATCTAATAGCCGTTCTATAGAACTTTCCTTGTAATCTAGTGGATACTCGTTTATCGCACAGTACCTCAGACGTACTCCCCTCCACTTAAACCACCCCGCCTTAATTCTATAGACCACATCTGCTCTTATCTCTCCAACCGTTGTAATAATTGATCCTAAATAACGAAAAATTTTATTCTTAGATAGTTTTTGGTTCTCAATCTTCACTCCTCCCTTATTTCCATTGTTACTATTACTAAAACTACACTCCATGCACTATGTCTTAGTTCTGCTTATCCTAAATACTTTATATTCAAGTGTTTCTCTCAAAGTCTCCAACTTAGTGTTAACTTCTTCTCTAGTCTCATCCACTAAAACAATATCATCTGCAAAAAGCATACACCATGACATATCATTCTGAATATTTCTCGTTAACTCATCCATAGCTAAAGCAAAAAGATAAGGACTTAAGGTTGATCCTTGGTGTAACCCCACAGTAATTAAAAATTCACTTGTCTCTCCAATCATCGATCTAATAGTGGTCACCACACCTTCATACACTTCCCTAATCACATCAATATAACCTTTTATCACCCCTTTCTTCTCTAACACTCACCTGTCAGACATGTGGACACATGTCCACGACATGTGTATCAAACACGTACATGACATTCAATTTGGAGTTTTCATGCTTTTTAGATTGGGAGTTATGGGGACCAGTGAGTTCTTTGGGCTTCTACATAGTGTGGAAATTGATCGGCAAGGAGAAAATGGAATGAAGTAGATGAGTAACAAAGCAAGCTTTTCAATTAAATCTTTTTATTCTACTCTTAAAAGGCAAGGTAGTAACACAGTCCTATGGCAGAGCATTTGGAGGATAGCAGTACCATCAAGGGTGTCCTTTTTTGTTTGGAATGCAACTTTAGATTCGAATCTTACATTCATAATTTAGAAAAGAGGGTATACTTGCTTCCCAATTGGTATTGTATGATACTGACCATTTTGGGGGTATTTTATGCTTGATTTAGTTTCCAGATTCTATCAATCATGCAGTGGAGAAGATGTGCACTTTTAAGGAGACAAAATTGCTCATACATAAATCAAAAGCTACTTCAATTCACAAATTTCATTTTTTGGCCTACATTACATGGACACTTCTAAATTTGTGAAGTGTCTACATTGGACACTGGACATATTTGAGTAAGGGTATAGGATATGTGTTTGGCATGCTTAGTTTGACATGCACCCATCAAGTATGCCTAAGTAGTCAAGTTTACTATATAATGGTCCCTAATACTCCCACTTTATGCATAATATGCTCTATGTTAGTTTGTTCCAATTTACTCCAAAAAAATTAAATAAGCATTTAAATAATTCAACACTTTCACATACCTGCACCCGACACCTGTCTATGTAACATAGTTTTTAGCTAAACGAAAATTTATGTGAATCTTCTTTTGCTTTTGAAGATTTTTTGGGAGAGTTTTCTTATTAGGGTCCATGGCCTTTTTGCACACATCTAGTGTACAAAGGTACCCTTTCTAGTTGTCTTTCGAATATAATCAAAAAATAAAGATATGAAAAAAATCTTACTGAGCAACTAAGGAATAGATCATACTTAGCAAAGAAAAGGAACTAGTTAGTTGCTGCTACTGTTAAGAGAGTTCAAGAAGATACACACCCCCATTAATTAACCCACTCGCATGATTTATCCCAAATTTAATTTATAATAGCCTCACACATGACACCAAACTAAGTTAAGAACTTAAACAGAAGACTAGTTCACTAATGATACCAGTCAATTGTTCGGACTGAGCAAATTTATATAAACAAAACCAGTTTTTAGCTCAACAAAAATGATACAGCCACCACTTTTTATCACCTATACCAATGTAGGCCCCACCACCTTCTATCTAGTAGGTAAGAAAATGAGGTGAGAAACAGTGATGGCTTAGCATATTCTTTGGCTCAAGTTTTTTAAGGTCTGTAGAACCGTAAGGAGCCCAACTTAATGCTTCAATGGTTCAACTGTCCAGTCACATCCACATTCCAAAAAATGGGTAACTTTGTTTGTACAATAGAAATGGTGATAAACTGTAACAAAGAGTGATCACAGAGTATGAAAGAATAGGACTAGAACATTAGAATTTAAAAGTTAAAAATCAACCCTCTTTTTTCCTTTCATTTTTGACTTGTCATTCAAAAGGCATCAGTAGGAGCACCACCTCTATAAACATGATTTATATAATCAAATCCAAAACTCATCTACAAACGAGGCTCTTCTACAATATCTATGAAAGAAATCAGTCACAAAACTTGCATGTAATCTAAAATTGAAAAGTAGGCGATTAAGTGGCTTTCAATCTATGCATGGCAAATCTACACCAAGTTCAATTTTGTCCCTCCAAATGCAACATATCAAACACATAAGAACCACCCTATACCCTCCACAATCGAGCCCTCTTTGATTCAAAGTGAAATATCTCCTTAAATACAATGCTTGTATAATGCTAATGAGAACATAGTATGCTAACCAACGACTCTGGAAAAAGGTACAATTTTGGGTTTTAACCAAAAAAATCAAAATAGTTATCAGCATCAGGAATTTGAAAACCAAACCAAAAGCTTAAATAATCTCAACTCCCTTCCGCTACTTCATGTAATCCATGCCACCAGCCACCAGCCACCAGCAACAAGGCAACTAGAGAGGTCATCATACTAACCTATGAAGCATCGACACTTCAAAACAAATGCTGTATCCATGTTGGACACACGGACACTTTGGAGACACACGGACACTTTAAGGACACGTATGGGACACACCACATGGCATGTCCTCTTAATTAATTTATTTTCAGGGTACACGCCGGGAAAAGTTTGGGGACACTTCGGAGACACACTAAGGACATGCCAAGTTGTTTTCTCTCCCATTTTATTTAACGCATTTGATGAAAGTTGAATGTTAAATGTTTATTATTTTTCTCTTAGATTTAAATGCTTCACAGATCATCCATAAAAAAAGACATAAACTGCAAGTGCTAATTTAAAAGTACTTTTTATAAATATAAAAAAATAGCATTGGAGTTAGTTTTGATTAATATTGATTGTTTGTGGATGTGATATTAATCAAAATAGTAAATAAAAATATATGAAAACATATTTTACTGCCGTGTCCGTGTCCTCATTTTTTCGAAATCATCATGCCCTGTATCTGCATCCTTGTTTATGTCCGCATCTGTATCCGTGTCCGTGCTTCTTATATTCTAACTGTAGCATCTTTTCAACATCAAAGTGTAAGAATGGTTCCTTCATAAACTTTTTCAATCATTCCTTCCAAACACAAAAAGCACGAGCATATAATTTCTTAATTGAAAAATTATTCCTAGGGTTTCTTATTTTCCACTAAACTTGTCTTCCAAGCGCTCCAACAAAAAGTTAAAATCAAAGTTTTGAAAGGCAATATTGAGGCTCACCTCGAGGCCTAAGGAAAAATGCATTGAAGTTTCAATTTTTCAGTGAGAAGCTATGTCACAAAAAATCTTACGATTTGCGATTTGATTCGCAATTTATGTAAAATTGATACGAATTTATAGATGAATCTATTTTGAAAGTGAATCTATAGTGAATCGGATGATTCACAATCGATTCACAATTCGATTCACTTTTTACGATTCATACAATTCTTAAAGTTATCATGTCTGACATATTTAGATTTTTTTTTCTCCATCTTTTAGTGAAAATGAAATAATAATGTTTAGTATGAAATAACCGATATATATACATAATTTGTTATTTTCTTGGTGATCATGAGTTTTTAATAGAATCCGATCATATTTAGTTAGGCCCAACATATTTTTAATATTTTCTTCTAATTTTGTTTTTTCCTAAAAAAAGTCATAATATATCTTTTAAAGATGTTTAAGGTTAAATTAATTTGCACAATGAATTGTCTAATGCTTTTTTTTATTGAAATAAATATAGTTCAAGATTACATGAGTGAGGTCAATTAAACCTAATGGTTCTACAATTCTTTTCTTTTTTTTTTTTGCCAAAAAAAAAAAAAAAGATTTTGAACTACAAGCATATATACCTTTCAAAGTATTTTAGGTTTTAAAATAACAAATTCTAATTAAATTTTTTTTTTTTTTTGGGTCATTATTGCTTGGAAAAGTCTGTATGCTTATTGTTCAAATGTCAACATTGTTGTTAAGTTATTGTTACTTAAAAAATTGAGAGTACGTCTTTGTTCACTTTCTTTATCAAGAAAGGGTGATAAGAAATATCTCAAAAAGGGAAAAAAAATAAGATAGTGATCTTACATGGAAACCCGTGTTTATTTCTTACCCATTAGACCACGTCATCATCATTCAAAACAATATTGTCATTTAAGTTTACATATTTCATATTTATAATATATATTTAACATCTAATTCTGTATATATATATTTCTAAGTAAATTAAAAATGGTGACCAAATCTTTATGATTCACAATTTGGTACAAGGCCATTTTGATTCACAATTCGAATCTTGATTTGACAACTATGGTGAGAATCACCAAAAGGTTGCGCATCAATTTGAGGCGTATGCCTTTTTGCGCATAAACATATGAGTAGTATGCATATGGAGAGCTAGTGTTGTTAAACTTAATATAATACATGGTTTAAAAATTAAAAAATAAATAAATAAACTATATTCTATGAGAAATATCAAGTAAAAGACCTATCGGGAAAAAACACAAAGCTAAGTGATGCAGAATGTGTGTGCACCATGGAGATTTAATAATTGTCTTTAATATTTATTATCTAATTTATATTAGTATTTTATTTTTAATCATGATTTAATTATGAGTTTTAGTTTCATTAGGATTTTTATTAATATTTGTTTTCCTATTATATTAGGATTTGGTTTCCTATTTCGATTAGGATTCTTGACTTATAAATATTAGATTTTACATTGCATTATCTAGCTTTTGAACTAATAAGATAACGAGTTTTAGGTTGTGGCCTATTGTGTTAGGGTTGTGGACATGCATTACTCATTTGCCTTTAAGTTAAAATATATGGCCAAGAGCCCATTAGTACAGTTTAAAAGTTTTATTAGTATTAGTCTGGTAGTAAGATTTTGGGGTAATTGCTAATCTAAGATGGTATCAGAGTTTTGGCTTTAGAAGGTCTTGAACACAAATTTCTCTTTTTGCATTTGATATGTTTGTTTGAATTCTGTTTGTATGAGGGAGGGTGTTCTACAGCAGTTTAACCTTCTAGGATAGTTGGTGATCTAACAATTAGAAGAATACAAGTTTAGAAAACCACCCAAAAAAGTAAGCAGATCACACTGCACTCAAAACGTCAATGACAACACTGCATTGCTCATTATACCTATCATATTGTGCTCACTGAAAAATGCTAAAAAAGGCGATTAGATGGTCATCATCTTAAAAACAATATGTAATGCACACAGCTGGGTCCATTAAGTCTGGGGTTTCAAATAAAGGTAATTTCTTATAATTTTAAAAAAAAAAAAAAAAACCACATTTTGACGTACCCAGAAAAGAAAAGGTGATTGACAATTACCTCAAGTCACACGTCAGCTTTAGATTTTTTTCCTGTCAATATCTTGAATATCTGCAGGCCCCTACTGAATGCTTCATTGAATAGAATCCTTGTCTGCATCGACTGGAAACCAGGCATCCATGATAGTAGTGAAAAATGCTAAAAAAGGCAATTAGATGGTCATCATCTTAAAAAAAATATGTAATGCACACAGCTGGGTCCATTAAGTCTGGGGTTTCAAATAAAGGTAATTTCTTATAATTTAAAAAAAAAAAAAAAAAGAAACCACATTTTGACCTACCCAGAAAAGAAAAGGTGATTGACAATTACCTCAAGTCACACGTCAGCTTTAGATTTTTTTCCTGTCAATATCTTGAATATCTGCAGGCCCCTACTGAATGCTTCATTGAATAAAATCCTTGTCTGCATCGACTGGAAACCAGGCATCCATGATAGTAGTGCCACAGGAGCCATAACAATCACTCCAAAGATTATGTCGTATAGCCGAGCCACAGAAATAACAATCTCCCAAATCAAGGTTTTTTGTATAAAAGGACGGAGTACTTGGGCAATTAAAATAAAGCCCCACCCAGTAGGAAGGAATGCCAAAAGACTTGTGAAAAGATCAACAAATGTGAAGTGGGTGAACTCCAGCAAGGCAATGATTGCAAGAATGGCAAGAATAATAAGGAGGAACTGAACCAATCGATAGTATATGTGTTCTCTTGCAGCGTATTTGTCCCGAGCATATGCTACAATCATATAAATGCCAGCAGCCACAACCACATAGATCCAAGAGAGCAAGTAAACAGCAATACTTTTGCTCCCAGCAGCAATATCTAGCTGGTATACAATCCCGTACTGGAAAAAGAAAAAACGGAGGTCAAGGATTATTTCCAAAATCTTTCCCCAAAGGCCAGTTGTCCTCAGATGATCCTGTTCCTCATCCCACCATTTTTCCCAGCTCTGTTCAGCTTTTGCAAACACGCCACCACGGTACCAAATCCAATTCATGAAATCATCAAAATCATAAACTGTCTTCAACCAGTCAAAACCTGATGGATTGAAAGCAAATGGAGCCAAGATCCATGACGCAACCAAGAACCAACTTGAGATGGTCAATACTATGTAAACAAAGGTGCCAGTAGCTACGGGGCTGTATGAAGCATACACTATGAGTATCAGCCCAAGCTCAATTGCCTTCACAAAGTGGCTACGAGCATAAAGTCTATAATTCTCGGCAAAACTCTTGTGCTGCACAACAAAACCACGCCCAGTTGCCCGGTACTTTGCACCACCATGAAGAATGGTTCTGCCAAAGTAGTGGGCACGAGTTCCCATGGAGAATGTGTAGAATACAGATGACAACTGAAGCTGCATTGTTATGAAATCCCATATGGCTCCAAGGAACCCTTGCTCCAAAGAATTCTCCACAATCATTGGGAGTGCAGTGAAGAAACCAAGTTGGATGATGAACTGTTGGTTCAAGATTGTAGCCAGTGCTTTGTTGTTGTTATTGTCTGCCGTTGCAGAAGCCTCAACTCCACTAAGTGCTAGATAAAGTCGGCCCCACAGAAAAGAATAGACAGTAAGGATCACCATCTGTGTGTTAAAAAAGAAACCCACAGTAGTGTAGAAGAATGACAGCATCCGGAAGAAATCCAGCCTGTGTCCCAACCTGTAGACATCTCTACTCAAGACTTGCTCACCATTTCCACTTGCAACCTTGGCCTCAAACATAGATATTTGATTCAATCCAACATCCCTTCCCTTACCAACTTGGATGTACTCGTGATGAGTGACATTGCCGCCTCGTAATGTGCAATTGAAACCGGCAAAAATGTCCTCACTGATATTAATTACTCTGGAAGCTTTGCTGATTCCTCCCCGAGTCAAGAACCAGAATCTATCAAAGACATCGGGGTGGCCATAATGCATTCGAATTTTCAAAGGATTCGCCAAGACGCGCTGCCCCAAGGTGACAAAACTTGTTTCTTGAGCTGACATAAACCATGCAAGTGATGAGACAGAGGCAGTAAAAATGTGTTCTCGAACTCCCAAGATAGTAGGCTTTCGGATACCATAGTAGTGTCTGAACTCCTCCAATAAATTCCGCATCTTGAGAGCTTCCTCGAAATAGTTATCTTGGTTCATGTCAATGGTCTGGACTGCATCACCACGAGTGAAGATAAGGGCATGGTTCTGATTCTCCGGCTTTCCTTCTCCAAGCTTCAAGGGGCCAGGCAACTTAACTCGGTAGATCTCCACTTCCTTCTGCAACTGTTGATCATACTTCACCAGAACAGAATAATACTCCTTCTCATCCCTCCCCGAGAAAACCTCATCAACATAGGCCACTCGAAGAGCTTCATTGTTTTTCATCAGATACAGAATGTCCTCAGCATGGGGGTCCTTTTTTGCCTTTTGAGCCCCATATATCTGGCAGGCAACCACATAAGTGTATTTCATTAAAGCAGTCCCATATTCATGGCCTTTGAACAACAGACTCACTGAACTATCTGCTCTACTCAAACTCCTCGTAGATGGTGACCTTTCTGAGTTGAATCCATCCATGCTACCACTTCGTCTCATCGAGGCAAGTTCCTGTGATCCTTCCCTGATGTCCATCTCTGACGCAGAATCAAGAAAAGCCAGCATCTGAAGAGCCCGATAGTAATACATCATTCCTCTCACAGTGCGGGAGAGTGTCTGGCCTCTATATGATGCCCAAAGCCTAAGATCTCTTAGCTTGTCTGTCCATATTTCAGCATCATTTACCATTCCCTCTCCGCGCATCCGCTCCATGAAATTCTTCCATTCATCTGCATGGATAGTCTGTAAATAATATAAAGTGGAAACCCCGTCTTCGTTCTCAATTCGAAGTTGTTCCTTGCTATACAGCACTTCTTCATTGTAGTAAGGAGTCAATACAGTAAAAGCCATCATTTTCTCAACTTGGGGAGCATGGGGCATGTTCATAAACAGAGAGTTGCTGAAGAATGCTATTCGGCGTCTTGCCTCAAGATTTGTCGGGATATTGTGCATCGAGTCCCGAGATGTAAGAATGGTGTGCAAGCGCCGAGCCTGTCGGTAAAATGTCTCTTTATCAGCTTCAGGCAATTCGACGGCATTCTCAAAAAGCAACACCTCGCTTGAAACTGGCCTACGAGAAGCCAAACCGTCCTCCCTCAGCTGATCACTGCTTCTCTTGTCTTTATAAAAGTCTCGAATGGCAATTTCATAAAGAGCCTGAAGAATATTCACCACCTTGTTAATATCTTTCTTAGGCTTGATCAACAGCTCAAGCAGAACTATCAATTTGGCATGGATCTGGGGAAATGCATTCATATCGAATGTTTTTGTGAACTTCTCAATCTCAATCGACTGATCAATTTCTTGAAACAAAACTGTTATGATGGAATGTTCCTCAGTGTTGGATTTGACAATAGCACGCAGCAAGTGCCTTACACTGTCGTATGCTTCAATAATAGCACAACGCCTGTACTCATTCTTGCAGATTTTATACCAAAGCCACTTGTCAGGTGCATCTACTAACTCTTTGGCCTGGCTGAGAGCAAGCAACAGCTCATTGCAGAGGAGTAAACAAGGCCAGCGGATAACACTAACATTCCAGGTATTTTGAGGCAGCTCCAACAACTCAACCTCGTGGTCACTGATAATATCTTCTTCTCTGAATATTGTAATTATCTCATTCCATATCAAGGCAAACTTGTTTGCCTCCACCTGGTTTGATTCAAGCTTCTTAAAGGGTCGGCCAAGCCCATACCTCAGCTTCAACCGGTGAATTGCATCATTAAACTTGCTCTTCAGTGTTCCCCTTGTATTTAAAAGTTGCTCCTCAGGCATGAGATTAAACTGAATTGCACTAGCAAAGAACTGGAATCTCAACCTTAACTGCTGCATGTTTCGTATCTCACCCAAATGGTCAAACAACCCCACTGCGGCACCAACAAATGCGGAGTAGATTGAATACCAAATCTGCAAATCCATGAGGTAAATGAAGACCACAGGAAGCCACAACAAGCCAACTGCAAACCTATTGCTGTTACTGAAAAACTCATGCCACTCATATTTCACATCCTTAAGATTCATGAGGGCTTTTGTCGGAGAAATCATGGGTTTGATCTGTAGGAAGTAACTGAAGCAAAATTTTGTAGCAAGCACCACAACCCAGAATAAAGAATACTTTATATTGTCCAAAAGGCCTTCCCTAAGGCCACGACCCACAAATGTTCGGCTCTGAAACCACCATGTCAACAAGTAAAAGATTCTCCAATTTGTATTCTCTAGGAAATTCCGAATCCAGGGTAAAATAAAAAGAGCCAGTGCCAGAAGCTCCGGCACTATGTAAACCAATGCAACCTCTAGAAAAGTAATCACTCGCTTATCAGCCTCACTAGACCAGCTTCTATCACGATTCTTCTGGGTCCAAATTCTACCATAGAAAACCCCGAAAACAATGATCCACACAGCAGCAATAACACTCTTTAACACCATTCTCACCCCGAGCGACAAAGTCTCCCTTGAAACCAGACTGTACTGCATCCCAGCATCAAGAAGTGACTGAAGAAACCTGAACCCACTCCAAGTAAAGAACAGAGTCAAAACCCGAACCTGAACATTGCGAATTTTCAATGCCTGCCACGGATACTCCTTCCCCTCCCAAGCAACGATTATTGCAGCCTGAAGAAACAAAATTAACATAATCCAAAGCTTATCAAAGCTCCGAAGCAAGTTCCAAAAAGACCTCTGCTCCACAAATCCAGTCTTACCCACATGCTTCCCTTTACTCGTGGTGACGAAAAAATTACTACCCACATCAATTGGCCACTTCAACTTGTCGAAACACCTCCGAGTCCAAAAGTACTCATTGATATCATCATAATTCCGCCACGCAGAATGTGGGGCAGTCCCATTTCTACTATTTTCTACCTCGGCACGAATGGTTTCGTAAATGGGTTTCACAACCCGATTCAAATAGGCGTTTTCACCAGAAATTGAGGGCAAAACAGGTCGACCAGTGTTCTCATCAATGTAATCCTCAAGAATTCTATTGAGTTCCATAGCCATACAATGAAAAATATAGCAAATGCATTCAGGAACAAAGCGTAGATTAGCGGACTCACCCCAGATGAGGAGATAGAGCGAGACGTAGAGCAATTCGCGGCGGTGATCGGAGTCTCGTCGCGTGTTTTCGGAGATCCAGATGTTGGATTTGTGTCCGAGGAAGGAGCACCAGGAGGTGTAGTTCTTGAGGAGTTTGCGGCGGAAGCGACGGAGGACGGCGGGGTCGAGGGAGTCAATGTTGTCGGGAGGAGGAGTGAGGTGCATCTGGGCGTTGGCGAGGTGGAGTACGAGGTGCTCTCGCTGGTTGCGAACGTTGTCGTTTTGGAAGCCGAAGAAGGCACCGAGCCAGTCGAGGAGGTCCATGTGGTCGTGCCATTGGATTTTGTGTCCGAGGAAGGAGCACCAAGAGGTGTAGTTCTTGAGGAGTTTGCGGCGGAAGCGGCGGAGGACGGCGGGGTCGAGGGAGTCAATGTTGTCGGGAGGAGGAGTGAGGTGCATCTGGGCGTTGGCGAGGTGGAGTACGAGGTGCTCTCGCTGGTTGCGAACGTTGTCGTTTTGGAAGCCGAAGAAGGCACCGAGCCAGTCGAGGAGGTCCATGTGGTCGTGCCATTGGATGAAGGGAGGTTTACGGAGGTCTCCGACGGCACGTAGGGATGCCGCGGCGGCGCGTACTTCGGGGTAGCGGAGGGAGGGGTGGTCGGCGAGGAGGTTGTGGATGGGGATTATGTTGTAGGGCTCTTCGGAGGTGTCGGAGTAAGGCCGGTTTGAGCCGTGGGATGGACCAGGGTGGTGGGATTGGACCGGTGGCGGACGCTGCCGGAGGCTCATTGCATCTCCGATCTGAAGGATGGCGGCGGCGGCGGCGGCGGCGGAAGCAAAGTGGTGTGGGGGTGTTGGTGGTGGTGGTGGTAGTAGGTGTGATCGGTGTATGTGGGCTTGGTCTGGATTGGGGGTGTGGAGATCCTGACCAAGAGAGAGAAAGTACAGAGAGAGAGAGAGGATTGGATTGAGTGGGGACCTTCTGTAATATTGCAAAAGAAAAGAGAATGATTGCAAGGGGAGGGAGAAGAAGAATCAACGATACGACCTGGTTTTGAATGTAAATGAACCTAAAACGACATCGTTTTGATAAAATTTTATGATTTAAATAATTTAAATCACTTAAAATAACATCGTTTTGAATATAAATAAATATAAAATGATGTTGTTTTGACAAATTTAAACCATTTAAATCATAAAATTTTGAGTTATCAAATATTTTTTTTTAAGAAGAGTAGAGCGGCATAGCGCGTAAGAAATCAATTTGTTTACAATACTTTTGGATAAATTATAAGGGAGCTTTTTTGATAAATCCATTTTCTAAGAGCTTTATTCCATCCAACCCATATTCTTTTTGACTATTCCATTAGGTCCAATTTGAGATAAGAAGACCAAAATACCCTTTTCATCTACTTATGTTCCATTTAGTTCACATTATTTTCTTATATTTCAATAAGTCCTATGGGTGACATAATTACCAAAATACCCTTAATGTGAATGTTCACACCGTCAACGTAAATGTTCATATCGTCAATGTGTAGGGGCCCGGCCTATGGTCGATCCTCGTGGGTGCCCGGAAAAATTCGAGTCGACCGGGCCAGGCCGGCCACAGGCCAAAAAAATAGGCTCGGCTCGGCCTGTTGATAATATAAATATTCACATTGACATGTTAACATTCACATTGATAAGAGTGTTTGAAATGGCCTGCGGCCCGTGGGCGGCCCGAAACCAGTCCGCCGCCGCGGGCGGGCCCGGACCGGCCCGTTCACAATGTGAATATTCACATTGACATATTAACATTAACAATAACATTGATAAGAGTGTAAAATTGGCCCATGACTAGTGGGTAGCCCAAGCCCCGACCACGAGTCGGGGCGGGCCCGGCCCTTCCCGACCCGTTGACAATGTGAATATTCACATTGATAAGTTAACATTCACATTGATAGGAGCGTAGAATTAGCCCGCGGCCTGTGGCCGGCCCGAAAACCGCCCCAACTCGTGGGCTGCCCTGGGCGGGCCCGGCCCGACCCGTTAATAATGTGAATATTCACATTGACATGTTAACATTCACATTGATAAGAGTATAAAATTAGTCCGCGCCCCGTGGCTGCTCGAAACTAGCCCACGGCTCGTGGGCGGCCAGGTGGGCCCGGCCCGGCCTGTTAACATGTGAATATTCACATTGACATGTTAACATTCACATTGATAAGAGTGTAAAATTGACTCGCGTCCCGTGGGCGGCACGAAGCCCGTGGGCGGCGCGGGGCAAGCCCGGTCCGGCCCGGGCAAGCCCGGTCCGGCCCGGTGACAATGTGAATATTCACATTGACATATTAACATTCACATTGATAGGAGTGTAAAATTGGCCTGTGGCCCTGTGGCGGCCCGAAACCCGCCTTGTCCAGGGCGGGGCCGGCCCCGGCCCGGCTCGTTGACAATGTGAATATTCACATTGACATATTAACATTAACATTGATAAGAGTGTAAAATTGGCCGTGACCTGTGAGCAGCCCGATGCCCGGCCCGGGCCGGAGCGGGCCCGGCCCGTTGACAACGTGAATATTCACATTGACATATTAACATTCACATTGATAAGAGTGTAACATTAGCCCGTTGCCCCGTGGCTGCCCGAAATACGCCCACGGCCCGTGGGCGCCCGAGGCGGGGCCCGGCCCGGCCTGTTGACAATGTGAATATTCACAATGACATGTTAACATTCACATTGATAAGAGCGTAAAATTGACTCGCGTCCCACGGCGGCCTGAAGCCCGTGGGTAGTCCGAGTTTGGGTCCGGGCCTACCCCGGGCGCGGGCGAGCTTCGAGCAGTGGACAAATTTTACACTCCTATCAATGTTAATGTTAACATGTCAATTGAATATTTCACATTGTCACGGGTCGGGCCAAGCCCACCTCGGGCTGCGATCAGGATTTGAGCCGCCCACGGGCTGCGGGCCAATTTTACACTCCTATCAATGTGAATGTTAACATGTCAATGTGAATATTCACATTGCCAACAAGCCGGCCCACCTCGGCCTGAGGTCAGGCTTCGGGCTACACACGGGTCACGGGCCAATTGTACACACTTATCACGTGAATGTTACACATGTCAGTGTGAATATTCACATTATCAACAGACCGGGCCGGGCCCGCCCCGGGCCACCCACGGGCCGTTGGCGGGTTTCGGGCAGCCACGGGGCGGGCTAATTTTACACTCCTATCAATGTGCATGTTAACATGTCAATATGAATATTCACATTGTCACGAGTCGGGCCAAGCCCGCCTCGGGCTTGCGGTCGGCTTCGGGCCGCCCACGGGCTGCGGCCAATTTTACACTCTTATCAATGTGAATGTTAACATGTCAATGTGAATATTCACATTGTCAACAGGCCGGGCCCGCTCCGAGCAGCGCGGCGGCTTTTAGCCGTCCAGGGCCCGCGGGCCAATTTTATACTCTTATCAATGTGAATGTTAACATGTCAATGTGAATATTCACATTGTCAACGGGCCGGACCGGGCCCGCCCCGAGCCGCCCATTTGCCGTTGGCGGGTTTCGCGCCCACCACGGGACGGGGACCAATTTTACACTCCCTATTAATGTGAATGTTAACATGTCAATGTGAATATTCACATTGTCAACGGGGCGGGCCGGGTCGGCTCGCCCTGGACTGCTGTCCAGTTTTATACTTCTATCAATGTGAATGTTAACATGTCAATGTGAACATTCCCATTGTCAACTGGCAGAGCCGAAGCCCGCCCACGGCCCGTGGGCGGGTTTTGGGCAGCCATGAGGTGCGGGCTAATTTTACACTCCTATCAATGTGAATGTTAACATGTCAATGTAAATATTCACATTGTTAACGGGCCGGGCCGGGCCTGCCCGGGCCGCGGGCGGGCTTTGGGCTGCCATGCCGCGGCCCAATTTTATACTTCTTATCAATGTGAATGTTAACATGTCAATGTGAATATTCACATTGTCAATGGGCCGGACCGGGCCTGCCCCGGGCCGCCCATGGGCTGCGGGCGAGTTTCGCGCCGTCACGAGACGGGGGCCAATTTTATACTCTTATCAATGTGAATATTAACATGTCAATGTGAACATTCACATTGTCACAGGCCGGGCCGGGCCCGCCACGGGCCGTGGGCGAGTTTTTGGGCAGCCACGAGGCGCGGGCTAATTTTATATTCCTATCAATGTGAATGTTAACATGTCAATTGTGAATATTCACATTGTCACGGGCCGGCGGGCCCGCCCCGTGCCGCGGGCGGGCTTTTGGCCGCCCATGGGCGCGGCCCAATTTTATGCTCTCTATTATCAATGTGAATGTTAACATGTCAATGTGAATATTCACATTGTCGACGGGCCGAACCGGGGACCGCCCCGGGCCGGCCATGGGTCGCGGGCGGGTTTCGCGCCGCCACGGGACGAGGGTCAATTTTACACTTCTATTAATGTGAATGTTAATATGTCAATGTGAATATTCACATTGTCAACGGGCCGGGCCCGCCCCGGCTCGCAGCCGGGTTTCGGGCCGCCCACGGGCCAATTTTTACATTTCTACCAATGTGAATTTTAAAATATGAATGTTCACATCATTAAATGCTAATCGTTCAAAAAATATTTATAAGGTATCAAAATTAAATATAAGGGCATAGTGTCCAAGAAAATAGTGTAAATTCAAGAAAATGGACTTTATGGAATAAAAAACTATACATACATGGGCATAAATGGGTTAAAAAATTCCTTCATGGACTTCTTGGGTTAAACACTTCTAAATTGGACTTATCAATAAAAATCCCAAATTATAAAATATATTTATAATTTATTTAAAATATAAATTAGTTTATATTTTATTTTAAATAAATTTCAATAAATATAATAATTTATTTTTAAAATTGTAGTGTGAATAAATAAATAATAATTAATTTAAAAATGAATATCATATTTAATTGTGTATCAACAATTTTTTTTTTTTGGTAAAGAAAAATAGCAAGTTGTTATCTTGTTTCCTTAATTTCTTTTTCACTAACATTCATCTTAAATGCACACAACATGTTTTTTCTTTTTTTCATTTCACTTTTTTCACCTTTATTTTTTATCATATTTTTTACTATAATTAAAAGATAGGTAAATTACATTGACACCCCCAAAGGTTTATATTACAGTTCCTCTCCTCATCTTTTGAAAATTAGATCTTCCCTTGAGGTTAAAGTTTCATTACAGATTCTTTCCTCAGCCCTTTTAATTTTTTTAAATACCAATTTTACCCTGATTGGGTAAATTATATTGACAGCCCTTACATTTTGGAAATTACAATCCCTTCTCCAAAGTTTAAAGTAATATTACCAATTGCCCCCTCAGTTAGTATTAGTTGAAAAAAAAAATCATTGAAAAAAAAAATTAATTGAAAAAAAAATTGTTAGTAAAATTTTTAAATTTTTGTTTAAAAATCAACGTAAACTCATTTTTTGAATTTACGTTTTTTTTTTCAAATTTACAAACTGAGATAATCATTTATAAATCAAAAAAAAATTATCAAACAAGTTTTTATGACAGTTTTTAAAATTTTTGTAAATATAAATTGAAAACTGAAAACGAAATGGTTACCAAATAGGCTTCAGATGGTAAAAATATTGTAAAATTAACAAATAATTAAATAAGTTACCAACATAAAAAATGACTTATCAAAAGATTCTTAGGCTATGCATGGTTTGATTTTTAGAATTTTTTTAAAAAAAATAAAAATTAATTTGGTTAAGAAATAAAAAATAAAAAATAATTTTCATTTCGTTTAAAAAATAATTTTTTTATTTTTTATTTCTTAACCAAATTAATTTTTAATTTTAAAAAAAAATTTAAAAATCAAACAATACATAGCCTAAGAATCTTTTGATATGTCATTTCTTACGATGGTAACTTATTTAATTATTTGTTAATTTTACGACATTTTTACCATCTGAAACTTGTTTGGTAACCATTTCGTTTTCAGTTTTCAATTTATAGTTACAAAAATTTTAAAAACTA